GGCAGGTTCTAGAGTTGCTGGAGAAGTGACATTGTCAGCAGTGCCCTGGAAAAAAAGTCCCCTTTGAGTGAATGAACAGCCTTATTTAGGGCCACTTTGGACCTGAGCAGCTGGGTCTTGGCCCCACACAGCCAGCTTTTCCAGCAGTGCAGGAACTTGCCCATGTGTCTTTAGTTTCAGCCAAACTGAATTTGTCATATTGTGTTTAGAGGCCACGTTGCATGAAGAATGTGTATCCTTAAATGGGAGACTCCAGGAAGGACACAATCTGGTGCTCACAGCATGAGATGAGCCGCACACGGGGACAGACTGCTGTCCCCAGAGCCCATGAGAGGAGCCTCACACAGGGACAGACTGAGGTCCCCAGAGCCCATGAGATGAGCCGCACATGGGGACAGACTGCCGTCCCCAGAGCCCATGAGATGAGCCGCACACGGGGACAGACTGCCGTCCCCAGAGCCCATGAGAGGAGCCTCACACGGGGACAGACTGCCGTCCCCAGAGCCCATGAGAGGAGCCTCACACAGGGACAGACTGCCGTCCCCGGAGCCCATGAGATGAGCCGCACACGGGGACAGACTGCCGTCCCCAGAGTCCACACTCATACCTCCTACTTGGAAACACTGGAGCCATTAAAATGGTTACTGCTAACTGGGGAGATTTTTGGGGTGTGAGAGAGCCCCATGATTATTTCTTGAATTTCAATTAATGAAAACCCCCCTACATTTGTCTTTGATTTTACCTGACTCATATAAACTGGCAAATTACCTACCTGAGTTTGAACAAAGCTGAATAATTCTTCAAATTTTACAGGGAAATTTAATTAAGTTTGACAGCATTTTATTTTTAAAATTTATTTGTTTTAAAATGAATTGAGCTGTAGTAAGAGTTGGAAGGTAACACAGAGCTCCCAAACCTCCTTCACCTACCTGCTCAGTGTTACCTCTGTGCACGGCCACAGCACAGCAACCAGAATCAGCGCGCGGACGCAGATCCGATGCTGCTGACTACATCTCAGAGCTCGCTCCGGTATCCCCAGCTTTTCCATCTGTGTCCTTTCCCGTTCCAGCATCCAGTCCTGGCACCGTGCAGCCTACGGCCCTTGGGGGTCATCAGGCCCCTGAGTCTCCTCCTCTCATCCATGTTCATCTCTTAAAAAATAAACTTACAAATTTAAAAATGCAAAAAACGAACAGCGCGCACACACACACACACACACGCCAAGCACCAAAAGACAAACACCTCATGATCTCCCTCCTATATGGAATCTAAAAAAGTCGAACTCGTGGAAGCAGAGAGTGGCTGGTGGACACCTAGGGTTAGGGGGCAAGTGCAGTGGCGGGCACTGTAGGTGCAGTGAGGGGCAGGTGCGGTGGGGGGCAGTTGCAGTGGGAAAGGTGTCCTTGAGAGCAGGTGCCAGTTGAGGGCAGGTGCTGTGGGGGGCAGGTGCGGTCGGTGGGGACTGGTGCTGTGGGGGGCAGGTGCAGCGGGGAGCAGGTGCGGTAGGGGCTGGTGCCGTGGTAAGGGACAGGTGCCGTGGGGAGCAGATAGATACTGGTCAAAGGTGAGGATTTCAGTTGCAGGATAAAAATGTTCTGGGATCTAATGTACAGCTTGATGACTGTATTGTTTATTTGAAAATCGCTAGGAGAATAAATATTAAGTGTTCGTATCACACACACAAAAGGATGAATATGTGAGGTGCTGTATATGTTAATTAGCTTGATTTAATCACCCCACAATGTTTACATGTATCAAAACATCACATGAACATAAATCTATGTAATTTTTATTTGTTAATCATAGCTTGATGAAGCTGGGGGTGGGGAAAACAAAAACTAAAAAGGGAATGGCAAGTAAAAGAGGCACCATCAGGCTGTAGTTTGAAGAACACAAGGCAGTCAGGCCCTGGCCACATGTCAGGTGAGTCAAGCGTGAGCCCACCCTGGATCCCTATTCTGTTACAGTCACGGGGAGGGGTCCATTACCAGTGGTCCTGGGTCCCGGTTAGGGAGAACCTCTGGTCTTAGACAGAACACAGGATGCCTGCAGGGATAAAGGTGGCCTTTGTGTGGAGACATTAAGCAAAATGTATGATTTGCTGTTTCTCATGCATTGATCAAGGTATTCAGTAGTCAGATTTCCCCAGGGTATCAAATAGTTCATTGGCACTTGCCAAAAAAACGGAAGCTTGCCTATAGTCTTCTCAGTGGGCCCAGGACCGGACCAAAGGGCTGGCGCCACTCCTTCGATGAGATCTGCTTCCAGCAGGCCCCCGCATCCCCCATCCTGCTACGTGTGAGTTGGCTCCCTAGTGTACCAAGCATTCCTTGTAGATTTCCATCTTCTTTGGAGCGCCTTGATTTTTCTCATAATGGGAGAAGACGTGTATTCTTTTCTTTCCTTCTCGTGGCTAAAACTGTCCTCTTTCTCACCGAGTCTCCCCTGCAATCTCTCCGCTCTGCGTCGCTGGGTGACCACGTCTTCCAAATGCTCCTTCCTGACAGAGCCTGGGGGCTTCAGCCAGATCTTTAGTTGCCTCTCTTTCATTCTTCCATTATGTGACACCCTTGGGTTTTCCATTTCTCCCTGCAGAAATCTTCCTTCCCAACTCCCCCGTCCTCTTTCTCCAAAACATGTGTGCCGTCCAGTGGGCCTTCTCCAAACCCGCCATTCTCAGACTTTTGTCCGCTCACCTCAACATTTCCAGTGTAACAGCTTCCATTGTGCATGATGCATTATTTATACTGTTTAATTAGTATTAAAATAAGCACACCATGTAATCTAGCTAAAATATGTATTTTCAAATGATAGATACGTTTCTCATATTTGTGCAGGGTCACTTGGTAACAGCAACTTAGAGGAGAGGCTACAAAACGCCCTGGAGAGGTGAAGTGCCGGCTCGGCCTCCCCCAGCCGTGCGTGCAAACCCCTTCTTCTCCCCAGGTCTCCATCGGCACTCGGTGTTTTCAAGTGTCCTTCTGTGATGAAAAGAGCATCCAGTCAGTATTTAATTTACATTTTAATGCTCTCTTCTCCGAACTCTTCCTTGAGTATTTGCCCCACACTGTCTCGTTTTACCACCCACCTTTCTAGCTGTGTGAATTTCCTGTGAATGCCTTAACAGAGGGCCACACGCTTAGTGACTTTCCTCCATCAGCTCCGGAGGTCACAGATCCAAATGAGCCTTTGGCAGCAAGGCCCAGGGACAGAGCTGGTTCTGCCTGGAGGCCCCAGAGGCCCTGCTCCTGACCTCCTCCCGTTGCTGGAGGCTCATGGCCACCGCCCTCCAATCTCGGCTTCCATCATCACTTCCCGCTTCCTCCCCCACAGACTTTCCCGCCTTTGTCTTGCAGGGAGCTGTGTGCTAACACGAAGACCAGTGGATAATCCAGGTTAACCTCCCCACCTCAAAATCTGTACTGAATCCCATCTGCAAAGCCCCTTTTGCCATGCAGGGTGCAGTCACAGGCTGGGGGACTGCATCCCGCTAGTGCTCTGAGCTACTCTTGACGTCTTTTCCATCCATGTTCTCCCAAGAAGAATCCCATTCACTCACAGTCCACACTGTATCCCCCTCTGGACTCCCAAATGTGTCTCTTTAAGCTGGACTCCACCCAATGGCTGAAAGAACATTTCCAAATGCCCAAGAGCTCACTGCCCGCCTGTGCCATGGACACCTCCAACACAATTCCAAGCCTGAGCCTGCTCCCACTTTGCTTTTCATAGCCAGTCTGCCTTCTTCTCTGGCCTTCCTAGGATCAGTACATGAGATTTTCACTTGCTCAGGCATCAAACCAAGAATGGCTGAATCTTCAGAGGCTCTGCTTTTCTTCTGTTCCCAACAATAACTCGTCATTGAGCCATGGAATCCTCCTTAACGAGCCACCAAGTCTGGTCCTTCCTCTCTGTCCAAACCCCACCCTCCTAGTGACCATGCTCAGGGTGCATGGAGGGATTATATCACTGTTGACTGATCTCCCTGCTCTTCAGAGCTTGTCTAACTCATTTGTTATCTTCACCCATTTTATGGGTGCGTGATGGTGATTGAGGGGAGAATGTTCTTTTAAAGGCAAATCATCACATTCTTAGGGTTCAGAAGATCTTCTAACAAACAGACTAATATTTGGAAGCCTTTGCATCATGTTTTAGCATTTACTTTCAAATTACCTAGAGGAAGCATCAGTCACATTTGGAGAGGGGGAAAGAGAGGAGAAAGATTAAGATGATTTTCACAAAGTAGAAACCCAAAGGACTTCCGGGGGCACGAAGAGGCTCAGAGTCTCAGGAGCGAGTCATTGAAGACACATGTTATTTTATCATTTTCATGATGAGATACAGCCTGAAAGCAGATCAACTGTGAAGACACGTCATCTCCCAGTGTTGAGAATGCAATTGTGGTGACCTTCCTACTGGGTATCTCTGTCTTTGTGGGGACTCTTTTGATGGGTGTGTGATGTGGATTAAGGGGAGAATGTCTGTGTGCTGGTGAACACACGCTAGACTGTGCTCATTTTTCACCTCAACAAATTGGGAAAAAGTGTAGTTTATTCACCTCTTAATGATAAGAAAACTGGTTTTCAGGGACAGAAAGCAACAGGCTCAGAGTTGTAGAGTGAGTCATTGGTGGGCCTGGGAGCTGCACCCAACCCAGTCCTCGGGAGATTAACAGCCCCTTTTTCACAGGGTATTTAACTGCGAAAGTAACAGGGAGGAAAATGCGAGTGTCACAAGGTTGGATTTAGTTGGTTTATTCTTTCTCCCTGTATAATTTTTTCCCCTCTTCTTCCTAACTCATACGGCCAGAGTTGGACCACATGTGCACCCCGATGACATGGCAGTTTGTTTCTGACCAGTCAGGATACACAAGAAGCCTGGTGCAAACACAACAAAGCCCATAGACATTCTGTTCCCACGAAGAACGGGCGCCACTCCACTTCCTAGCATCTTAATGGGGTATCAGAGCGTGGAGTCGGTTTATAAGGCGGGTAACCAAGTCCCTGGAAGGCAATTGAGGCGCTCATTTCAGAAGAGTTACAGCCGCAGAAAGTGCCCAACACTGCAGTTGGCTGAGAAGAGAAAAAAGGTCAGGTTGTAAAATTTTTATTTTTCCATTTTCTAAGAGAAATCCATCACTGGAACTTGTAAACTGGTCCAAGAGAGGCTGTAATTTGGGCCATTATGGCAGGTGCGGGTGGCGTCTCCCAGCAAGGTGGACTGACTGACTGATGAGTGCTGTTTGCAATGACCTCCGCTGGAACATGTGGGTCCCGTAGGGTCAATTCCTAGATCATCGTCTACGGAGACACATTCCCGCCAGCACGGACTCACTGGTGCTATCCTGCTTAACGAAATTAGTGGCTCAAAAATAGTCACAGAAAGCCTAAGAGAAAAAAACCAGGATTTGAAAGTAGAAATGACGAATTTTGAATCTTCTGCTTTGTCTTAACAACTATAATTCTGAAATCATTTTATGGACGTAAGAATGCTTTAAGAAATTAAATAGGCATCTAGGGGTTTTATTTATCACTTTTATAAAGGCTAGATTTCTAATAGTATTCACTTTTTGCCAGATAGATACATTAGGGGAAACAGATTTTTTTCATTCCCAAAAATTATTCCCAGTAATGTTATACTATTTGACATTACCAAAAATTTAAATGGGTTGTTACTGAGATATTTTGGCAACTGGAGCTGCCAAACATAAAAACTCTGTTTTTGAATAATCAGGGCCTGGGAGGCCTGCTCAGCACTGCAGCTTCTGTGCACCTCCTGACATGAAGGGCGGCTCTGGCCTCGCAGACCCCAGGCCTGTGAGGGTCACTCACCGCGGTAGAGGCTGCGTGAAGTCAGCGGCGGGAGCCTCTCAGCAAGGAGACGCGGACACAATGGTTCTCATGGCCTCATCGGTGCTTATGTTGCATACTCTGTTTCCTTCCCTTAATTTTAGAATGAGAGCGCGGGCTGTCCTGGCTGTCACGCTGATTATGGCCTGCACAGAAGCCTTCTTCCCTTTCATCTCAAGAGGCAAAGAACTCCTTTGGGGTAAGTAGCAAATACATTGTGGTCTTCTGGCCTTATAAAGTTGTTTTTCACACTTACTGAAATAGAGGGCATGACGGTAGCTCCCGAGAGTCAGTTTAGGCCCCTGTAGTGTATGCTTTGTTATGCTTAGAAAAAACATTGTAATTCTTGATTTTAGAAGGATTAAAATACTGTACATTTCTTTCTTTTAAAAAGAGCTGATTTTCCTTGGATAACACAGTAGAAAATTTTCACTTTTACCTATTCATATATTTGAAAAAGAAATTTCTTTGGGAGTGTTTTTCTTCCTTTGCTACAGAATCATTTTTTCTCAAATAACTTCTGTGATGTGTTTTCTGGAATCAGTGTGCTGCTATGTGAAAACAAGTTAAGAAAGTTACTGAGATGCAGTGGTTAAAATCATCACAGATCAAACTCTTTGCTTTTCTTTTGATAAAATAAATGAAGTCCCAAACCCTGAGAACAGGTTTCACTGGAGCGAACACTGCAGGGGCGTTTGCCCGGACATTTCATCCCATAGACACTCCTGGCCCCGCGAGCCGGTGACACCTCACTGGGCAGGTCCCTGGGCCTCTGGACACAGTCCTGAGGCCCCTGGAGCAGGTGACACCTCACTGGGCAGGTCCCTGGGCCTCTGCACACAGTCTCAGGGCCGTGGCACAGCACTAGCACCTCTGCCCTCGCCGGCCTTTCCCAGGACTGGAGACTTGTCTGTAGTTCAGGGTCACAGACTCTGGAGTCCTCACTGCTCCCAGCCACACCCAGCCCAGCCTTCTGCTGGGGGCCACATTTTATCCCAATGTTTCTGCATCTCAGGACTTCACAAATCATATTAGGAGCTGCAGTGAAGTCCATAACAGACTCGCAGACTCCTTAAAGCACTCTCCCTGCACAGCTCCCAGGACGTGCCAGTCACTGCCCACTCTGAGATCAGGGAAGCCGTGGGGCCTCTCCCTGCCAGCTTCCATCCATGCCCCAAGGATGGGCTACTCACCCCCAATTCCTGTCCCTCACCTGCAAGTGGAGAACGCTGGAAAATTACCCATCACAATCGTTATTCATGAGCAAGAATGAGATACTCCATTTAAAGCAGCGAATGCAGTGCCCTGGCAAACACACACACACACACACACACACACACACACACAAAAACTGAGTCACAATATAAAGAACCTCAGGAAAAAGTGATTTTGCATCTTCCAATAATAAATCAGTCACTCTATCACCCAGAACATGCTAGATGTTCAGCCAATGGTTTGTAAATTAATTAATTTGTTATTTTATTTCATACTTACTAAGGACCTGGTTGTATAAAACCAAAGTAAAATATGTTAGAAATCAAGAGCTAGTTATGAGCAAGTCGTTATACATGGGAGCTGTTCAACGAAATATTTAAAACTCTGTAACATGTTTTTTAATTTAAAAAAATCACATTTAAAAAGCTATCAGGAATGCAATATCCACAACTTTTGCTAAAGCAGTTTTTAAAAATTATTTTTCCATCTCTGAGAGATTTGACCTTTTCCTTTTGCTTAAACTTTTGGTTGATACGTTGCGAGCGCACAGGACGGCAGCTGACGGCTACGCCACACACTGGGCACATCGTTCTGCCCGCTCCAATGTTTCCACGCTGACTTATTATTTGCTTGACATGTAAATGAGTTACTGAAAAAACATGTGTCTCACAGTACTTCAGTTTTCTATCCTTTAATAGTTGTTTTGCAGCTTTAAATCTGTTTGGAAAATGATGATACCCGATGATTGCGTGTGGGTTTATGTCACCTGTGCTCACAGCCATGTGAAGCAAAAACCTTGGCCTGCTCCCCAGCCTCTGTGCAGGACAAGCCAAACAGCAGCCAGTGGCAGGGCCAAGAGGATCCAGGCTTCCCCGGACCACACATGGTCACCATAAGCAGATGGTGCCCGGGGGGTCCCGGGGGGTCCTGCTTGGTGGGTGGCTCACCCATTATGTGTCAGGCACCCCTTTTATGGATCAAAACGTAGAAGTCTGGAAGTCTCAGAAGCAGCAAGGCTGTGACCACTCAGCCTCAAGTCCCAGGTCTTTACAGAGAACCAACACACATCCTCATACTTGAAGCTTGATGATAAGTACTCAGTGAAAAGTATCAGGCCAGTGCCATGACTCATATCTGTAATCCCAACACTTTGGGAGGCCGAGGCAGGAAGATCACTTGAGGCTAGGAAGGAGTTCAAGACCAGCCTGACCAACATGGCAAATCCCCATCTCTACTAAAAACGCAAAAAAAATAACAACTAGCTGGACGTGGTGGTACCCACCTGTCATCCCAGCTACTTGGGAGGCCAAGGCACAAGAATCAGTTGAACCCAGGAGGTGGAGGTTGCAGAGTCGAGATCACATCACTGCACTCCAGCCTAGGTGACAAGGTGAGAATCTATCTAAAAAAAAACAGAGAGAGAAAGAAAAGCATCAGTCCTGGATAGCGTTTAGGTTGTATCAACTTGTCTGTAAACCTTACGAAGGTGGAATAAGAAGGGAACGATCTCGGCCGGTGCTCAGACTGGGTGGGTGCAGGAGAGACTCTTGCTCCAGAGCAGGATCCCCTAGGGTCAAAGCACAAAGAGAAATAAACTTCAGCACCTGAAAATTCTGTAATAAGAGTCTTTGAAATTGGAAAAAGATTTCATTTTCCCTCCCAAGTCTGTGCATGACCATTGTTGTCTAAGAGAAGTTTGCTACCAGTCCCTCCTCTAAAACCCTGAACAGAGTGTTCATCACCGGAGCCCTGTGTATTCATCCCCTCGCAGGCTGAGTGGCATTCCAGCATTTGTGCAAAATCAAGATTTATGTGCAATTATCTTTATGGCAAATGTTCCACAAGTTATAGCTGTTAAAAGAAAACAAGATGCAAATGAACAACGGGAAGCAGAGGCGCTGCCTGCAGACTGGGAAAATTTGGGAAGCTAGCCTAATGAGTGAATTTGTTTTAAAAGGAAAGTTGGCAAACCTTATTCCAGTTCATTAAATTTCAACAGACAGCAATGATTAAAGTGAGAATCAACATACGACTTTAAACAGGAATCCAGTGCTTAGAGTTAGGGGCGAAGCTCTGGCCCTGGGGGCTTAGGGTTTTGGAGAAGAATTTTGGCTTTCATATAAATATATATATGTATTTATATATATATAGGTTTTTTTACATAAACAGCCTCTGGAACAAGGCAACTTCCTTCTTCTTTCTGAAGTATAGTATGTTCTTGCCGAATGTGTCCCTGAATCCCACCTCTTTTATGAACAATATGAATATGCATAAAGGAGAATTTGGGGGAACCGTGCCATGCACCTCTCAGAGCAGGAGCAGTCTTGAGAAGGCGCAGGTGGAGAGCAGTGGGCAGCTTCTCCAGAGCAAGTAATTAAGTCCCGTGACTCCCTAGAATTCAGTGTTCAGTTCTGAAAAAAATAAAGTTCAGGTTCAGACTCCCTAAGTCTATAGTCCTTGCATCCGACGCCTCTTCCCTGGGACTGCTGGGAACCGAGGAAGGAGGGGCAGCTGCAGAGCTAACGATGGCGGGGGGGTCAGAGCCAGCTACCCCTGCTCCCTGGTGGCAGGAAAGCTAACGTGAGCTGATGGAAATGAGAAGCAGCAGATAAAGGAAAAGCCATCTGCCCTCCCTCTGTTTGCCTAAAAGTAGAACATAAATCCTTTCCCTGTCCAGCAGAAAGGACAGAAATCACCATGGGGGACCCGAGGCCTCAGCCTGGAACCAGCCCCAGAGGCATCTGTGTGGCAAACCTCTGCAGCCCCAGCGTCCCTTCCTGTAGCTGCCCCAGAGAGGCCTCCTCACAGTGTGTTTCCCGGGAGCTCAAAGCCCTTTGCTTTGGTCTTGCAGCTTCTTGGAAAATGATTGTCCTTTTGTTGAGGGGCTGTGCAGCCGAGTTCTAACTGTCCGTTCAAGTTTCCATCTTGGGGCGCTCGGGGGCTCCCTCGTGGAAGCAGGAGGCCAGGTTAATAACCCCTGTGTGTTTTCCTCTCGAGACTCTGCCTTTTGTCAGTATAATTTACAATGCCCCAGAAAATTAACCTAAGATGCAGGGAGAGAAAAGGTTTCTTCCTCCCCTACGGATGGATGTCAGTCACCTCTATTCAGCCAAGAAGTAGTTAACCTAAACAGTGAAAACACCACCGGTTCCAGCAGACACTTAGGACTATCTGAGGAGAATTATGTGTCTCTGATGGGAGTTTTCAATACAAAAATGGATTTATTTTATGAAACTTAAAAGACACTAATAATCTGCAAGCCTATAAAAATGTTTTAATTTTGTAAAATATTTCACAATAAGAAAAGAAACTAGAGACTAAGCAACATGTGATCAGTTAAACTTAAATAACAATATATTAATATTTGTCAATAACAAGGAATGATCTCTCTAGAAACTGCCATTTCCAAGCACAGTAGGGAAAGATAAGCATGTTTCTTTATATTTCATCAGTTGGTTCTTAAATACTTGTCAAGTTGCCTGCTGAAAACCAGCCTTTGGTCTTGGCCGTGAATAGCGTAGAACTTTGCAGAGCCCTGAAGAAACTCTCAGTGACAGGATGCATAAACACAGGTGGTGTGAGTGACAGAGCTAATTTGTTTTTCTGGTACCTAAAGATCAGCAGGATCAAAATTTCATAAAGGAAGACCTGGGAGCTTGAGATTGACAATTCCATGAGATGAAGGATAAATTGCGTTTTACATCCACAGCTCTGCAACATGGAGATGGGTCTTGGGCGGGTTGTGGAAGTGCTGGATTCTGAGGAGGACCTGCACGCAATTCCGTGGGCATCACGAGCCTTCAGATGCTTTCATCAAAGGCACAGGCACAAGCAGGCCTTGTTTTAGAAAGGTCACTTGGGTGACAGAAGGAGGGACAGAAGGCTGGGGGAGAGATCAGTGCTGGAGACAGTCGAGAGCTCCTTCTACTAAGGCAGTAGAAAGGGAGACTGGCAAGGGCCAGGCAGGAGCAGAACGTTCTACCAGAGATATTATGGGGAAATCAGCACAACGTGGCGAATGAAAGGCAAGGAAAGCCGTGGCTGGGTTTCTGGCTTGGGGACCTGAGCTGGCAGGGTGGTTATTTCAGGCTGTTAATTCGCCCCAATGGGGAGCAGAGGAGGATGACGTGACTCGGGAGAGAAGTTCAAGTTGAAAACGGGCATTTGGGTGAGGATGAAAGGAGGGTGAGATCAGAGGAGCCAGAAATGCACCCGTGGTGACATTCACGGGAGACCGTGGAGGGAAGAGAGCCACGGTGACCGAGGCTGAGAGAGGGAGCGGCCAGAAACTGAGAGCAGAAGGCACGGCGGCCGGGAGCACTGAGGCTTGCCAGGCCCTCAGCCAAAAGCCGTGCAAACTTCTCTCTAAAACCATCCTAAGACGTAGCTCTGCGCACTTGCCAGGCCCTCAGCCAAGAGCTGTGTAAACTTCTCTCTAGAACGATCCTGCCATGTAACTCTGCCACTAGGAGAGAAAGCCGCGCCAGGTGAGGTGGTCTGCTGCGTCACTCGGAGATTGATTTGTCTCACTCCAGAGCTCATGGCCGTCACCCCTCTGCCACCTAAGAATGCCGGCAACATCCCAAAAGCACCAGAGTCCTAGGGGGTGGTTACTGTGTTTGGCAAGTAAGCGGCCATGACTGACCTCAGAATACTAAATGTGAGTTGAGTTGCCCAGGCAGTTGCAGTGGGTTTAGAAGGAAATACGAGGAAAATAAATGAAAATTCCAAGTGTCTTATATCTCAAGCTTTTGTGGGAATAGGAGGTTCCCTTGCTCTTGAGAGCTGAAAGAAATCTCCATAAAGCCCAGAATGCTGGTCCTTGAGGTCCACACCTGCCACCGGTCCTGCGATGCCCAGGCCGCCCCTCCTTTTTCGGCTCCTACTCACTCCCACTGGCATCCGTTCCCCATCGCACTTTCCCAAGCATGCACATGCTGGCGCGAAACCGGGTCCCCTGTTCAGACTCCACACCCAGAGCCCGCAGCTCTGACGGCTGTACTGCGTGGCCCTGGTGGAGCTGTGAGCCCATGCTGGGTGCCCCCCCTCCCTCCCGCCCTGGCTCCAGGGAGCCCCACACCGGGGGGCTCTGTTCATTGCTCTCTGCCCAACCCTGAGAGGTCACCCTCTGCCCCAAGTGCTTAACCACTGGTTACTCATCCCAGAACCCAAGAGAGATCCATCATGGAGGTTTTCTTAACTTTGTTGTATCGCACTGTAAGAAACTGGGTAGACAATGGAACAGACGGAGCAGGGCAGAGTGAGCAGGAAGAAGGGATAGTGGGGAATTTGTGTGCTCCTTGGGTGGGGACGAGCATGGAAGGCACTTGGGGCTGAAGTCAGAGGCGCTGCAGTCACCTCTCCTGGGCTGACCTCGTGCAGTCGCCTCTCCTGGGCTGACCTCGTGCAGGTTGGGCCGTTGGGAGAGTGAGAGCCTGGTGTCCCCTTCAGGAACTTCTATTTGCTTTTAGGAACCAACGCATTCCTTTGGTGGAGTATTGATGCTACACAGGTGAATTTAGTGACAGGACTGACGTGTGAACATGGCTGGAAGCACTTGCCATCTTCCTGTTACCCGTCTGGAACTTCACGTTGTTACCCAGAAATGGGATTTTAACCTCTTAAACATTCCAGGTGCTAAAACAAATAACACAGGAGTGTTTTCATTGGAAACTGCTGGTATATTGGAATTATTTTATCTTTTATTAAGTACACAAATTAAGATAGGCAAATTATTATCAACTTTACCACTAGCTCAGGTAACCAGTGATAAATGTTCAGAATGAAAGTTATTCAGAATCATCTGAAGTGGTTTGGACAAGTGAGAAATTAGGTGAGCAGCTCTCTCATCCCATTCTCCAGGCAGCTCCATGCAGGGGGATGGACACTCCTCCGTAGTAAGGAAGTGAAGGCCCGTGGAGGAGAAGCCTCCCACAGACCTGGTCGCCTGCCTACCCTGGAAACCACGTGGGCATCACCACAGCCAGATGGGCTTGAGCGACAAAGCAACACCGTCAGTGAATCCCCGAACCGTCACTGTGCTCTGACTGTGTGGTATTCTCTTCTGTAGGAAAGCCTGAGGAGTCTCGTGTCGCCGGCGTCTTGGAGGAAAGCAAGCGGCTGGTGGACACTGCCATGTACGCCACGATGCAGAGGTGAGCCCTGGGGAGGGGCCACCGCCCCGAATGCCACCTACGGGCACGTCCTTCCTGACATCTGCACACGTGTGGCCTAATATTCACAATTGCAAATGAAAACCTGAAGCTTCCCATTGTTAATTTGCTTCCCCAGTGTCATGTGCAAGCAGAGGATAGAAATGGTATTTAATATCCAATTCTTTCTTTAGCAAGACACAGAGGAAAAGCACCATGATCCAGTCAGCAATTACATATATCCTGGTTAAAAGACAGTAGAGGCTGATGTCCTGATAGTGAAACCAGACTCTCTCCTCAAGGACTAGGACAGATTAAAGAGGAAAAGGGAGACCTAGATCCCAGATGTTTGGTGGTGTGATGTAACTGTAACATAACCTGGGGCATAGGATAAAGAATTAAATGGGGCTCTCCTCCATTTTTGAAATAATTAGCATTTGTAATTATGTAACAGACACCACTGTTAAGAATATTGTGGTCTCATATTACCTGTCTAGAAAAAGAAAAGAGAAACAAAAAACCTGTAAAGCAGTTTGTCCTCCCAAGCTTATTATTTTGTAGGAAGTTGACTAATAATTATATAAGTTCTCAAGATACAAAATATCAAAAGACAGCAGTTAATTTATTCCAAATTTCTATCATTCCAGCCAGAAAAATACCTTATTGTTCATAGTGGCTGAAAACAAATTATTATTTATTTTCTAAAAATTGAATCAAAGGGAAAAGAAAGAGAATCACTATTTCTCATAAACTCACGCACACTTTAGTAAGTCTAAATGGACAGGAATTTCTGGGAAGACATGGCAGTGGGGATGGATACCAAGTGCGTAGTAACAAGTGTGTGCTGCTCTTTTAGTAACAATTTGTGAACCCAAGTATCTAAGACAGATCTCAATCCGTGTAGAACGTTTATTTTAACAAGGCTAAGGATGTGCCTGTAACGCAGTGTCAGGAGGTCCTGAGGACACCTGCCCAAGATGGCTGGGGCACAGCTTGCTTTTACACATCTTAGAGAGACAGAAGACGTCCGTCAAAACGTGTCAGATTTGCATGGTGGGGAGTCTCCGGGTCATAAGTAGATGTAACAGTTTTCTGATTGGCAAAAATCAGTTGAAAGAATTATCATCAGTGGAAAGGAATGTCTGGGTGATGTGAAGGGGTTGTGGACGCCAGGGTTTCATGAGCTTCACAGAGAAGAGATCGTGAATGCCTCTTATCAGACTTAAGGTCTGTGTCGATGTCGATGCTGGAGGGGCAGAAAGAGGCGTGTCTGACTCACCACCTTCCATCACCGCCTGAACCAGCTTTTCGGGCTAACTTTGGAATGCTCTTGGTCGAGAGGCAGGGTCCACTCAGGTGGTTAGGCGAGGACATTAGAATTTTACTTTTGGTTTACAAATTACATGTTAACAGGACCCTTTTGAAATCAATGCCTTGATCCTAAGGATGCATTAGAGTGAGGGAAGCCCAGGAGAGATGTCAGCTGGGGACACTACTGGAAAAATTTGCCTTTTGATATCGCTCAAAAAATACACTCTACACCTATTCCAACTATGTTTCTTTCCTTAAGAAATACTGTTTCTACTGTGGAACAGTCATTGTTCTGGATGCCGGGATACAGAGATGAGTTAGATCGTTTCATATTCTCAGAAGTCCGTGCTCCTTCTGTAAAGACAGATACCTGAAGGGGGCACCTCATTTAGGGATGAATTTATTATGGATCATCAGGAAATACAATGGTTGGTTGGTTAGAGAACTGACTTTGAGTAAAAGTTTTAATAATAATAAGACACTTTTATCCTTCAAAACACATCTAGTTACTTTAGAGCCGAAAAGGAAAAAAAAATAACTTCTCTAAATAATAATATCAGAAGCTAGAGTGTGCCTAAGTCATTTCTTCCACTCACTCATGGGCAGTGGTATGGCCCCAGGCTTTTGGAAAGTGATAGGAAAGCACAGAGCCCGCCCATGAAAGTGTTTACAAAAAGGGAGCCTCTGAGACCCCCTACCCCCTCACTCATCACTTCGCTTACCTGGATAGCACGGGGCCAGGGACAAAGTACTTTGCTCCCGAGGTAGATGGAGTCAGAGTTTTAGTGTTTGCACTCGTCCCACAGAGCAATGGAAAGGAGACCAGGGCAGGCTGCACACAGGAGGGGCTGCGTCTGAGGAGGGGGGCCCTGTGCCTGGGGACCCAGATCTTTACGCTGTGCGGTGAGCGTGCCCACCCGGGCTCTGGGGAAGGGGGCCCTGTGCCTGGGGACCCGGATCTTTATGCTGTGCGATGACGTGCCCGCCCGGGCTCTGGGGAAGAGCACCCCTGTTTGACTGGAGAATCTGGAGAACGTGCAGTGTATTCTGGAGGAAGATACAACCTCCAGGGAGGCAGCGGCGGGTTCCCGGGCCTGTGGCCCAGGCTGCATCAGCAACCAGGTTCACCTGCAGCAGCCAGACCCTGTGAGGGAGGCAGGCAGGGGCAGGATCTGCCCATCCATTGTGTCTGGGCCACCTGGCCAGGTGTGGCTGGTAGTGTGGGGGCAGGGGTGAGTGTGCCCCATGAGTGTGTGGGGGTGGGGGTGAGTGTGCCCTCGACCTGGCAGGCACCCCTTGGACAGGGGAGTGTGCTTTTCTCCCACCATGGCAGAGAGCGGGCACTGCAGATCTGCCCCCTCCACCTGCCATGAGAGTGGGAGCAACTCCCTTCCTTTCTGCACTTCGTAATTTTATAATTTCGGCATAGATGGAAGAAGTGTCTGCATGAGGCTCTGGGTCCGGTAGACCAGAGGCCGAGAAACCAAATGTTCCCATCAGTCTCAGTTACTCACCCCATGGTCTGTCCAGGCTCACATTCCTTGAGCAGTAAACTCATTCCTTTTTAGCATTCAGGGACCATTTCCAGTATTCACAGTTCGCTGTGAGTTCCAGGGTATATTCAGCCTGGAATATCTGCACCTAGATTAGTGATACCATTTTAGTCTGTTTACTGTTCACAGTGGAACGCTCTGGGCATTCCTGGGGTGCCAGACAGAACAGCTAAAGGAGTGTTATTATTTAATCAAATGAAGCTACTGGAAGGTGTCCCTGAACCAAGAGCGATCCGCAGAATTCGTGGGAACACACATATGATGCGTGGCTCTGTGTGGGCTCTTCACCTTAAGGATGCAAAACCAGCTAGAGTCAAAGTTCCCCTAATTTGAGTTTGATTTTCAGATATTTTGCTGCAGTTAAGAGCCTGCAAGTGTCACCTAGTAATACCTTGCTTATGTTCTGAAGCTGAGGTCTTAAAGTAACATGCAGCCCTGACCTGGGCTGCAGATTGCGTCTGTGTCCGGAATGAGCCATGGCTGCGGCCCCTGGGAAATAGCAGCAGATGAACAGAGCAGACTGTGGCTTGTTGAGGGGGTTGAAGCACCTCTCCAGGCTCTTTTGAACTGAGCTGCCTGCAGGCTGGGCTCTGCAGAACGTGGACATGATGGGAAAGTGACCAGCCAGCGAGGGAGAGACCTCTGAGCTGCACGGCAGCTGCAGGGACAGGAAGGGCTGGTATGGGCAGCGTGACCTGGGGACCCACCCAGGGGACCTGCTAGGCGATACCCTCCAGGTCACGCTCAGGAGCTGGAATCAGTTTCCCAGACCCCTCCAGGTCACGCTCAGGAGCTGGGATCAGTTTCCCAGACCGCTGCTTTCCTGATATACCCCTTTTGGGTCCAGATTGTGTTGTCCCATGGGTGCCAGGCAAAAGAAGGGATGAGACAGTGAGCCCTCGAGTGGGTGCAGGTGTTCTAGGAGGCAGGAGTAGATTTCCTCAAAAGGACCACCCTTGGCCTTCAGATCTCCAGAGAATTCTCATTCTTCCTGTTAACCAAATGTCTTGCTCAGATAGATTTTAGATAAATGTCTCCAAGGAAAGCATGCGTTTTGGGAGGGTTGCTATCCTCTCTACCATGGCGAGTCCTGGGGAACCTGCACAGGTGCCTACGCTCTGGCTCTGCCGCAGCTGCTGCCACTGACAACGTCACTTGCGTCTGGGCCAGCAGTCTCCTGTCTTTGGCTGGCATCCATGAACTGTGGCTGGCTAACGTGTTAGTTATAAGTAGCTACAATCTCAGTGTCCTCAAAGTTCATGACTATATAGTACCTTTTACAAATATGTCAGCAGATCTAAAACACATATATTGTATATTTTAAGTTAAATATCGCATGCATTTGTATGTACATGAAGTTATTTCTAAGATACATGATGCATGTGTACAATTTTTGTATCTTACTGTTGTCTCTATCATTCACTGGATGTCTATGTGGTGCAAGCTACTTAATTTTCAATGAATTAATTTCCCATCTATAAAATGGGCATAATTATTGTATTTTTCTCACAAGCTGATATGGTTTGGTGGGTCCCCCCAAATCTCATGCTGAAACGGGATTCCCAGTGTTGGAGGTGGAGCCCGCTGAGAAGAATCGGATCATGGGGGCGGATCCCTCATGAGTGATTGATTTGCCCCATCCCCTTGGTGATAAGGGAGTTTTTGCTCAGTTAGTTCACATGAGATCTGGTTGTTTAAAAGTCTGTGGCACCTCCCCCACTCTGCTCTCTTGCTCCGGGACCTGTCCACTCGCCATCCAACTTCTGCCATAGTTGTCAGCTTCCTGAAGCCCTCACCAGAAGCCAGGCAGGTGCAGGAGCAATGCTTATATAGCCAGAAGAACCGTGAGCCAATTAAACTTCTTTTCTTTTCTGCATACATTACCAAATCTCGGGTATTTCTTTACAGCAATGTGAAAATGGCCTAACACAGAAAATTGGTACTGAGGAGTGGGGTGTTTCTATAAAGATACCTGAAATCGTAGCAGTGGCTTTGGAACTGTGTAATGACAGGGGTTGGAAGAGTTTGGAGGGCCCAGAAGAAGACAGAAAGACAAGGGAAAGTTTAGAACTTCCTAGAGACTTGCCAAATGACTGTAACCAAAATGCTGCTAGAAATAAGGACAGTGAAGGCCAGGCCGACATGGTCTCAGATGGAAATGAGGAACTTACTGGGAACTGGAGGTAGAGGTCGCCTGTGTTATGCCTTAGCAAAGAGCTTGGCTGCATTGTGTCCAAGTTGTGGGGATCTGTGGAAGTTTGAACTTCAGAGTGATGACTTGGAGTATCTGGCAGAAGAAATTTCTATGCAGCAAAGCATTCAAGGGGTGGTCTAGCTGCTTCTAACAACCAACCATCAGATATGAGAGCAAAGAAATGATTTGTATTTGGAACTTATATTTAAAAGGGAAGCAGAGCATAAACATTTGGAAAATTTGCAGCCTACCCACATGATAGAAAACAAGATCCTGTTTTCAGGGAAAGAATTAAAGGGAGCTGCTGGAGTAACCATTTGCTAGAGAGATTAGCATGACTAAAAGGGAGCTGAGTGCTACTATCCAAGACAACAGGAAAAGGGCCTCGAAGAAAGCATGTTGTAAGTCCTCCCTCCCATCACAAGCCCAGAGATCTAAGAGGAAAGAATGGCTTCAGAGTCTAGACCTTGGGCCTCTTTGTCCTGTGCAGCCCAGGGACACAGATCCCTAGATCTCAGCTGCTCTGGCTCTGGGCTTGGCTCAGAAGGGCCCAGGTACTACTCAAGTCACAGCTTGAACAGTCCAAGCCATAAGTGTCTACAGCTTTCACATGGTGTTCAGCCTTCAGGCTCACAGAATGCAAGAGTTAAGGAGACTTGGTGGCTTCCCCTAGATTTCAGAGAATGCATGAACAAGCCTAGGTGCCCAGGCAGAAGCCTACTTCAGGGGCAAAGCCCTCTCAGAATGACTCTACTAGGGCCATGCTGAGGGGAAATACGAGGTTGAAGCCCCCACACAGAGTGCCCACTGAAACACTGCTTAATGGAGCTGTGAGAAGGAGGCCCTCACCCTGCAGGCCCTGGAATGGTAGATCCACCAGCAGCTTGCATCCTGCACCAGAAAAAGCCTCAAGTGCTCAACTCCAAACCATGAGAGCAGCCAGGTGGGCTGTGTTCAAGGAAGCCACAGGGCAGAGCTGCCCAAGGCCTTAGGCGTCCATTCCTCACACCAGGGTACAGGACACGGAGTCGAAGGAGATTGTTCTGGAGCTTTAAGATTTATCGAATTGTCTACTGAGCATAGACTGGTGTGGGGCCTATAAACCCTTTCTGTTGACTGATTTCTGCCTTTTAGAATGGAAAAATATACCCAATGCTGGTGCCACCGTTGTATCTTGGAAACATGTAACTGTTTTTTTATCTCAGAGGCTCATAGGTAGAAGGACTTCATCTCCCGGTGAGACTTTGGACTTGGGACTTTTGAGTTAATGCCGTAATAAATTAAGACTTTGGGGGACTGTTGCGAAGGCATAATTGTATTTTGGAATGCGAGAAAGACATGGGATTCGGGGGAACAGGGTAGAAGGATATGGTGTGGATGCTTTTTCCCTCAAATCTCATGTTAAAATGTGATTCTGGATGTTGGAGATGAGGCCTGGTGAGAGGCAAGTGGATCACAAGGGCAAACCCCTTATGAATGGTTTAGCCCCATTCTCTTGGTGATGAGTCAGTTCTCGCCCAGGAGGTCCATGTGAGACGTGATTGTTTTACACTGTGTGGCACCTGCCCGCTTGACCTCTTGCTCCTTCTCTCACCATGTGAGGCACCTGCTCCCGCTGCACCTTCCACCATGATTGTGGCTTCCTGAGGCCTCCCCGGAAGCCAAGCAGGTGCTGGGTCCGTGTTTGCACAGCCTGCAGAACCTTGAGCCAATTAAATCCCTTTTCTTTATAAATTACCCAGTCTCAAGTATTTCTTTATAGCAATGCAAAAACAGCTTAACATGTAAGCTTTAAAAATTTTTATTTTTGTTGTATATGTTTCAGATTTGCAAAATGATGTTTTGATACATAATGAAGTGATCACTAGTGTCAAACAAAATTAACGTACCCGTCACCTTCCATAGTGATTGGTGTCTACGTGTGGTGAGAGCACTTAAAATCTCTCTTAGCACATTTGTCTTTAGTATTCAATATTATTAACTATGGAAGGAATACAAGTGCTTAGCACAGCACCTGAAACTTTATGTTCACTTGTAAGCACTATGTATTTTGGGATTATTATTAATAAAAATATAAACAATCCATTTAATTATGGCAGAACAACTGAAGAGAACAACTAGGTCACTTTTCCCAAAGCCACAGTGGGTGATTCTGAGTCCTGAGCCTCATGTCTAACTTGCAGAGGGAAGGAGGTTCTCCTGCCAGCTCCGTAGTTCTGCCTGGCCTCTGACACTCTCACACCTCCCGTGGTCACTTGGGCAGTGCTGGCCTCCTGTCAGCTGGAGAGGCCCCACTGCAGATGACTCAGCCAGGGCAGCTGTCTGGAGCCCCCAGAGCGCAGTCCGCTGTGGTCACTCTGCTTCTCCTTTGGGGCCTGGCCTTGCCAGCTTTGCTGTCAAAGGTGATTGACTCAACCCTCAGGCAAGAAGGATGGTGAACCTGATGTAGTCCTCCCTTGGGTCCTGGGGACTCAGTAATTCCACTTGGCAGGTGCTTGGACAATGCTCTGATCCACCCAGGTGTTGGCAGCATTGTTGCAAAGGTCACCTCTGTCCTTTCTCTCCAGGCTCCCCAGGTTCCCAAATGCTAGTAGGCAGGTCAACTGTGAAACCTTGGATTGGTTCCCTGTAGCTGCTGCTGCTGCTGGGAATCTAAAAAGGTCAGGTGCCTGTGTGGGAGACCAGGAGTGAGGGGAGGCCTGCGGGTGAGGAGAGGCCTGCAGGTGGGGAGAGGCCTGCGGGTGAGGAGAGGCCTGCGGGTGGGGTGAGGCCTGCGGGTGGGGTGAGGCCTGCGGGTGGGGTGAGGCCTGCAGGTGGGGTGAGGCCTGCGGGTGAGGGGAGGCCTGCAGGTGGGGTGAGGCATTCACATGAGGCAGGCTTCACATGTTTCTTATTCTATGAGGGTGTGTTTAGCTCTCACTGTGAACAGCTTTGCTGCCTGTTGTGGGGCTGCACTGAGGAGATGCTCTGCATTGGAGTGGGAAGCGAAGAAGTTGGAGCTGGGACACAGGCAGCCTCAGCAGGCATTGGCTCTGAGATCAAGGCAGGGCCGTGCACTGCCCAGTCTCCTGTTTCATTAGCTGGGACATAAGCAAATCATGTCTTGGTTTGGATGTGACGGCCTGTCAGCAATTGTTATGAGAATCCAATTGACTCTGATACGACAGTTTTGTAAAGGGCAAGGATTTGCCATTTTCCTCATCATTCAATACTGATGCATCACCTACACCCTATTCCTGTTCCTAAACCCGACAACCCCGTGGACAGCAGTGACCCCGTGGACAGCGGTGACCCCGTGGACAGCAACTGTGCGTGTTTTCCCTGTGCACACCCCACAGTGCCCAGCACATTGTCTGGAACACAGTAGTTACTCAATAAATGTCTGCTTAATTAATTCATAATTAAGTGCCAAAGCTACCACAGACAAATAATCTCTTTTATATCTTCTTTATGTGCCATAGAAACCTCAAAAAAAGAGAAATCCTTTCCCCACATCAGCTTCTGTCTTTTTCCAAACTTCCCGAGCCAACTAGCGGAGAGATTGCCCGAGCAGCAGAGATAATGGAAACATCAATACAAGCGATGAAAAGAAAAGTCAACCTGAAAATTCAACAATCACAGCATCCAACCGGTAACGGGCGCCCCCTCCCCACTGAGAAGCCGCAACTCCCGAGGGAGGACGCCTTGATTTTTGTCCAGGGGCTGCTTGTTCAAGGCGTGTTTTTTACTTGAGACCGAGCAGGATGGGACTCCAGCTCTTTCAAAACATACGAGCTGCAATTTTTAAAATGCTTACCAAACAATCTCAGTATCTCATTTTTGTTACTCCGGAAAATAGCTGTTTCTCTCCAATTCAAATCAAACTTGAAAAGCTCACTAAGCTAAACATCCGTTTGTATGGTATAAAATAATTTAGGAATTTTTCCCACAGCCCCCCCTTAGTTAAAACTTGGCGAGCTCATTCATAAAACCTCTTTAATGAAAGGACTTCATGTGTGAGGCAGCGTGTTGCAGGGAGCCCGGTCTTCCCCGAGTTGCTGTTGCCTTAGCAGAGCTACCTAGGACCTTTGAGAACCAATTGACTCATCTCTAAAATGAGGACAGTAGCACTGCTCACTCCGCTGGCTATCAGAAGACCAATGCATAAACCAGGAGCAAATGTCATTATTTCTTCAGCTCTAAAGCACTCTATGGACATAAGATACTGAGATGGTAATGCAGGCAGCCAAAAGGCATATTGGTGCTTCTTATGATGGGGAGCAAGTAAGCGAAATGTCTTTTTAATTAATCAATTTTTTCTGTGCAGTGCCATGAGCTACTTGGCCTCTGAGTTCTTCCTTCTAACTAGCTATAGATCAATTTGGTGCTGGTTTACTTAGCTTTTAGAATAAGACAAACTTGGCTAAACCAGTATTAACCAGAATTCTCAAATCCTAAACTTAACAGTGAAGTTTAATTAACTTCACAGCAAGCTAAGATTCATTTGAAATGTCCTTTCTTTCAAACCATGTGACTGAACGATGTTTCTAAGAACTCTTGGTCCACTGTCCTGTCAGGCCTCCTATGGAAATGGCAGTTCCTGACGTCAGAAGATGTGGGTCTTTCTGGTCCATGCTTTAGAGCCACATGCTCATTGCTGGGTCTGTAGACATAAATGTTTAGGAGAATAGGCTGAGGTATGTGGTCCAGGCTATAACATAGAACTTAAGGACTCCATAATTTAGAATATTTTTAAATGATTTCCATTGTAAACATAGCCCATCTAGAAAATTTAGAACGCGAGGAAAATAAAAAGGTTTCCCATTACTTCATCACCAAGCCAGGACTCCATTAAATGTCAGTGCCTGTCCTTCTAGGCTGCTGCTTCACGTTGGTCTTGTGTATTATGTGACTATAACCTAATGGTTCTTTTCTATTGCACATGATTTGTTGTCTGCAAGCACCTGCTTGAGGACATTCCTGTCAAGAAGAATCTGTGCTCAGCTTTTTGAGGAATGCCTATTCCTGCACTAACTGAATGCACACTGCAGTCCGAGGTTTGCTTAACTGTTCCCGTAGAGCCATTCCCATTGGCCTGTTAGTGAGCATTCATGATTGAAAGACTAGTCTGTTTCTCTCATATCTGAAAATGGAAACCTTTCCTTCCTGGC